ACCAATGAGATTGGCGCTTTTGCTCACGTGTCTGGAGCTTCTGAAGTAAAACAGTAAAACATAACTTGGGGGGGGGGCGCTCAAACACAAAACGGACTGGCCGAGCACACATACGTAACGGCGAAAAAGATGATGTACGCCACGTAGCGTCTACACTGCCGGGAAGAAATAAGACGAGGAAGATGCAAGGCAAGATGAATGTAGAGCTGCTGGTCTCGTTGGTGTCGGAACATAAAGAACTATATGACAAACGCGACAGCAACTACAAAAATCTTTATAAAAGAGAACTGTTATGAAGTGGTATTGCAGAGCAAATGGGCGCCATCTAATGTCAGGGAATGAATTAACATGTTCACTCGGCTTATCGTCAGCGAAATTCGATTGGGTGTGAACACAAAAAACGCGTTGAAAAACGCTGGCGAATAACGTGCGCCGATATTCGTCCCGGTGTGTACGAGCCTTAATGCTGTTGTAAAGCCTAACAATCTGTCAGAGTAATTTATATTATAACTCTAAAGCTGCTTTGAAACAATCCATACTGTCAAAAGCGCTTTGTAAATGAAGGTGACTTGACTTGACTACTCACGACCACCTTCACTAGAATTTATCACGTTGTATGGCCTATTTATTGTGGTAAATTTTGACTAACTTGTAGATAATAGATAATTTGTTAATGGAATAGATTTGTCACTATAGATTTATACTACAACTGTGGCATGTTGTAGCTATAGTTTCTAAATGTGTAAGCTGCTATTTTTCATAAATGCTATGGATTAATAAAAATAAAAATAAGTCAACATTGGCCTATAAGCTTGGTAATGAGGAGCCATCAAATGTCTTACCTGTAATTATAGTCTTATTGTAACAAATGCTATAGTTATGCTAAACAATTACAAGAACTATGGCACATTTTCATAAGGGCAAGTACAAGTTAGAATTGAGAGCTTTAAAGTCTGGACCTTCTTGAATTATTGGCTAAACAATCAGTTTTTCCCCATGTGTAAAATGTGTTCTAATGATGACTGATAGAAAAAAAAAAAACCTGGCCTTCAGTTATTCCTAGAGATGACATAGCCGTTAAGGAGTAGGAGATAAACAGTTTCAATAAAATACAATTTTAAGTCAAGTTAGTTTGACTTCCCATGTTCTACTAAATATTTTTCCATTGCACCATTAAACTTAGTTGAAGCGTAACTATAGGCCTAAAACTAAATATTTAAGGAAGCTTCTGTTCAGGAGTAATGGTTGAAATAAAATAGCAGACAGATTGAACTGCACCAATAAGCTCTTGGTTTACCTAAGACTTCTTTAGACATACATGATAATGATGACTTTTACACTCGCATACATTTTAAGAGAGAGAACATTATGTGTGAATAGATTATTTTGTTAGCGCCTCATCAACACAACCCCGTCCTACAGATTACAGCTGTGTGCATCTGTCCCATCGGTCCGTGTTGTGCATGTCAAATAAAATCAGTCATAATCAATAAATGTAATTTCTTATATTAGTATTTATTCATTCATCCTTATTAATTTTGTTTCAAATACAGTTTCTGAATGTTATTTAGGCTACATATAAAAACACTTACATGTTATTCATGATTAAGTATGGTGTTTTATTGGAAACATATTTTTAACGTTAGTTACGAACCGAAGTTAGAATGAAGGATAAACTGAAATTCACAGCATTTCAACCCAACTTCTGCCCACGTATTTGAACGCTGCTATTGGATCATTGTGTAACGGTCACCGGCTGGAGTGCCCTTGAAAGTAAAGGTCCAGTAAAAGCACTCCAAAACAGACTATTGTCATTCGCTCACAAACTACATCTCCCATAATTCTCTGCCTGGACATATCAGCACTCATTGTTTTCACCTGTGTCTCATCTTCTTGTTAGTGTTGAAGATTTTATTATTTAGAAAACAAGTAATTTAGCCTTATAAGAATACACAATTATTTATTGTATGAGTCCTCTAGAAGGACTCTATGTGTCTTTGAAAGCTGCAAGACCTTCTGTAAAAAGACCCTGAATGTCAATTCTATTCTGAGAAGTCACATGGTACAAAACCTTCACCCAAAACTATCTATAAGTGTATGACCATCTTTGGAAAAGGATGTATGTATATATGTGAGAAGCTGGGCACGGATGAGGAGTGATCGCCTGCAGGAGGAAGGGATCTCCTGCTGGAGGGAGTGATCCCCTGCAGGAGATGCTCGGCTTTGTTTGTTAATAAAGTCTAATATTTCTGGCATCAAAGATCTCTGCGAAGTTATTTACAGAACAATTGAAACCACTTCATTAGCTCACCGTATATATAAGCCTGGTTCTTTCTGTCATTCCCTGCGAAGTCTTGTTAGTTGTTTACACTGCATTTCTGAGCGTTTCCACTGTTTTCCATGTTCCTGGTTTTTGATATCTGCCTGTGTCCTGGTTTTTGATATCTGCCTGTGACCTGGTTTTCCCGTTCCTGTCTCACCCTCTGGATTTGTTTGTTTGATTGGACTGATTTACTGTGCTCTTACTGTGTGACCTTTTGCCTGTCTTTTACTACCATTGTGGATTACCCTTTCATTAAAACACTGCATTTGGATCCTCAACCTTCGTGTCTCGGAGCAGTTCGTTGCATTGAGGGTAAACGTCATATTATGCGATTACGCATTACTTTACGGAGAGCTTATGACAGAATAGCTACATTCTGCCTTATGAACAAATGGTGCAACGGAATAAAGTACAGTTAGTTACAAACTAGCTAGTAGTTACTAAGCCTCTAGTGTGGACTTTACACTCCAATTTAAGAAAGAACTTACGAACGGCTGGTGCAACCCCTATCCAGGTGCTTGAATTATATAAAATACATCATAGGCCTATCCTATCCCAGACAGCAACATAGTGTCGGCCCAGGTCCGGGCCACATCTGGGACATGTGGATTCCACGCGTACCAGATGTGGGCCAGATCTGGGCCGACACTATGCTGCTGTCTGGAAAGTAAACAAGTAATTGTTAAATAGCTAACTATCAACCAACTTTGCATATGATACCACAAAAGACCAATTTGCAAAAATAAATAAATAAATAAATAAACCGAACAAAAATAAATTGAACTGACAAGCGATGTCTTTGAACCTATTGCGATGAGAGCTGCTTTCCTGTTTGTTCATGTGATTTTCGGGATAAAACCCATACTATGGCAAGCCATTTTGACTTTTATTAATTTCCAGGATATTAATTATTTATATCAACAATTCTTTATATCTACAATATCAACTAGTTAAAATAATTATTCTTGAAATCAGGAATTTGATTTTTATTAGTAACAATGGCAATTTTTTATATCAGTAATTATATTTCCACTATAAAAATGTAAATTTTTTATATCAACAATTACGTTATCTCGGAGAAATACGAATACATTATATCAAGAATTAAATTTCAACTATGAAAACTATAATTCTTGACATCTTTAATTGTATTTTCATTCAAATTCAATATCAAGAATTGATTTCTTTTTATTTGAAATTCGAATTTCACATATCAGAAATACAATACAATTCTTGCTAATTTTTTTTATATATATCGTGGTTACTAGTAAAAATGTAAATATTCACATAGTGAAACTAAAATTAGATATCAAGAATAATAGTTTTTACCAGTTGAAATTCAATTCTTGATTCTTGAATTCGTATTTCTGCGAGTGATGACGTCATTGTTGATAGAATAAACATTTTTACTAGTGGAAATTAAATTCCTGATATCAAGAATTCATATCCTGGGAATGAATAAAGGTCAAAATGGCTTGCCATACTATTCAGCTAAAAGATATCAGGCATAATCAGTCAGTCATAACCGCTAAACAAACCCAAAAGTCCCCCTGTGGTGAAAATCAAGCTTTTAATAAAGCAATAAGCCCCGTGAAGCCTGTTTTACAGTGAATTTAGAACAGCTAAGGGGTGTTGTTAGGCGACGCGGAGCGGAGTGGGGCTTATTGCTTTTATAAAACGGTTACTCCATAAAAATATTCATTTTAATATTTATTTTATTCATAAAATAAACACCAGCAACAATAAGTAACACATTTATTCCTCCGCCAAGCAATGTAGTTCCAAAGAGGTTGCCATGCAACACAGGCAGCAAATAATCACAAACGGCATTTGTGCAGTAATACTAATGTAATGCGGTCGCAAGTGTATGTTTGTGGAGTAATTTACAACGGCTTCGTACGTGGCTCAACCAATCAGAATCAAGGACCATCCAGAACGATCTGTTTTATAATTTGGTGATTTTAATATGCTTTAAGACAAACCATGTGCAAAGTCATAAGTCAACACCATTGCTGATGTTTTCTCCTTAAAACTGCAATGAACCAAAGAGTCACAAAAACGCAGTTTGAAATCGTTGGTGTTTCTGACGTCACAAACTTCCTTGTAACCAATCACGTCAATGTGATCGTCAACGAGTGGATCCCTGAGCTGGTGTGAGTGAGTGGAGGCGGAGCTAATTTGCATATTCATAGAACTGCATAAACTAAATGAGACAAGTGTGTAGAGTTACATTCAAACTATTTTAAGGAATGAATAAATTTTTTTTCAAGAAAAAAATGTTTAAATATGTAATTTTGGTGATCAAATATGAGATTTAAGGGATACCATTATTGACTACAGGGGGACTTTAAGATTAACTCTAAATGGTATGTGCAACCTCATTATCACAAACTAGCCCAAATCAGTTTACAATGTAATTTTTTTTATACTTTTTTTTTTTACACTATACTAATTTGTTTTCTTAAAGTTGTTGTTTTTAGTAGCCTAACGTTAGCCTGTTCAGTAAAGGACACTACATGGTCTAGCTTCTTTTCACCACATGAGCTTGACACATTCAGATAAAAAGCGCTTGTTTGCCTTTTCGCTTTAAACCAAAAGGTCCCACGGGTGCTGAGCTAAGCCTCACCAACGTACCTAAGAGTTATCCGTAAAGTTAGGAAGCTACATATGAGAACTCAACTGGACACGATCCAGGCCCGCTTCCAGCCAGACACACAGTAGCTGCTCGGACACGATCGAGCCTCTGGACTCTTTGGGAAAGACGAGATTCGAGCTGTATTCACGTTCCGGGGTGTGAATGAAACCCTCTAGTGTTGGGCTGATATAGTGGAGGAGCCGCAGTTGCTGAGCGCAGTGCTGTTGAATATCAGCAGATGGGATGGAAGACACTCAAATTATACTGTTGCTCTAGTTTAGCGACTAACAAGAGAACTTTGTAAGTGCTTTTTATATTTTTAAGCAAAAACATTTGCTATTGTGTTCGTTTAATATAATTGGGCGTTTAATATAATTATTTAATTATATAATTAAATAATATAGCCTGATTTAATAATTTTTTATTGCCTATTGGTGTTAGTTGATTCATGTACTAAATAGCCTACATTATTCAAACCATTATTGATTAAGGGAAATATATTGAATATGCACAGTTAATTAGCCTACAGCCTAAATATATTATTTTATTTTTGAAATCAGGGGAAACATTTAAAATAACAGCCCGTTCGTTCACAGAGGCATTATAACAGTAGGTTATAAGGACATTTTCCTGGACAGACTTTTGGAGAGCTCTACATTGTCATTGGCTCATATGGCACTTCATGGAGAGCAGCGATGAACACGACAGTCTTCAGTAAGTTTGATCGGTTGCGTTTCGAGGAGACCGAGCAGAATGTGGAGAGAACCAGTAGGAGCTATTTAGAGGTGATTGATGGACAACATTCAGATTTACTGACAAGCCACAACGTGATGGATGGCACCGAAGCTCTCAAACACAGACGAAATGGGTGTGTATCTGCTCCATTACACAAAATGATGCATGAAACGGTCTAAAATGAATGTGACTCACTATTAATGTAGCATTAACGTGGACACTTGTTTTTCATTTTCCCCACTCCATATGGATAAGTAAATATTCGGGAACAATTAATGTTTATTTATACTTTTCATATTTAAAAGACGTTTTGGAAAAACGTGTGTTATCTCTGTTGTTTAGTTTTGTTCAACTGCTGATAATTAGAACGAGGAAAAATGATGACGATTATTGAATATTTGCACGAGGTGGTAGTTTGTTTATACATGGTTGTTTCTTCAATTTAATACACTGTAAAAAAAAAACCTAATACTAATACACTGCCTTACATTTTTAAGTAGGCTACACTCAACTTGGATGTTTAGGTAATTTCAACTTAAATTACATTAAACACTTAAAAAATGAGTTGAAGTTGTATAACTTTTCAAAGAGTTGAAAATTGCTTAACTTGTTTTGATGAGTTAAAGCAATGTAAAAACATATCTTACTGTTCATATAATTGTTTTACAGTGTAGGAAAGCAGTATAGCCTACATCCTCACTGGAAGTGAGATAGTTCTTATCTTTGTACTTCCTAAGGATACTATCATGGAAAAATAACAGAGATGTGCTCCTCAAACTCATACAGTACATACATTTTCTTTCTGTTATTTAGCTATTATGACCAGTCAGGCATCACTATATGTAAGGTAAGGTAAAAATAGGAATGTTACACATACTTGGTCCACAGTGACATCTGCTGATTGTCTCAGTTCTGGATATCTACAGCATCTAATTGGACATCCACTATTTTCTTTCAAATGGTCCATTACTTTGAGCAGCAATGCTCTGCGCTTTGTTTACAATATCACTGGTCTCTTGCCAGTCATGGAAAATGTTTGGATTATGCACTGACAGCGCAATAATTTGTGTTAATATAGTGTGGTGAGTGGTATGGATGCTTTGTTGACGGTTTGTCAAAACTAAAGGCTCAAAAAGCAACTGTATCTCCCATTAAAAGTCATTTTTGTTAGCTAGTTTTGCATGAAAAGATTCCAAAGAATCATTATGAAATCAGCAAAGTAATGGAGGGGAGAAATGATTTGTTAAGCGATAAATTATTTGTTGAGTTAAAAAATCAGCTTGCATCTCTTTAAGAGACTTGCGGTATAGATGACTGATGATGTATATTCCCTGAATTTGCTGTGAAATTGCATAACAGCTGGTTACAGATGTTGGCTTTTAATAGAAATGATCAATATGTGTAATGTATAATTAATTGTTTCCTCCATTGACATTGCCGTAAACTTTTACATTTGACCTCAGCCAATCTGGAATATGAAATTGCATCTTTGCCTCTCCGTGTTGTTTTTCCTGAGCAGCGGAGGGAAGGTTCGACACAAACGTCAGGCCCTGCAGGATATGGCTCGACCGCTGAAGCAGTGGCTCTATAAGCACAGGGACAACCCTTACCCCACCAAAACTGAGAAGATACTGCTGGCTCTGGGCTCCCACATGACCCTGGTCCAGGTGAGGGGCAAAACAAGCACACAGATCCCATCAGATCAGGAGGATTGCTATATGCTCTGACAAAAACATTTACAGAATGTAGAAGTACAGATGTGAAATATTATCTGATCTTATAAGTTCTATTAATACATTTTGAACAAACAACATACACAACAATGTACAATGCCATTGATTTGAAGCCACTGGTGGATTACAGCCCAAAAATGGGTAGCAGATCTGTTCTGAATTAAAACAAAGCTAATGCAAAAAATAACTCGCAACTGCCTGTATAATATAAGCATAAAATGCATAGTTAGAATTGAAAAATACAATGGGATGAGAAAACACTTCACATATCTTTTGTATTTGACATTAAAGTCAACATGAAGCAGAAATTCCCTTTTGTGACGTACACTACCGTTCAAAAGTTTGGGGTCGGTACGATTTTAAATACTTTTAAAATAATTCTCTTCTGCTAACCATGGCTGCGCTTATTTGATTAAAAATACAACAAAAATCAGTTATAGTATTAAATATTATTCCAGTGTAAATCAGCTGTTTTTCTGTGTGAATATATAGTAAAGTGTAATTTATTCCTGTGATCAAAGCTGAATTTTCAGCATCACCAGTGTCAGTGTCTTCAGTGTCAAATGATCCTTCACAAATCAGTATAATATGAGGATTTGATGCTCAAGAAACATTTATTATTATTATCAATGTTGAAACAGTTGTTGGTCTGTCAGTTGTACAGTTTTTTTTTTTTTTTTTGGATTCTTTGATGAATAGGAAGTTCAAAAGACTTTTGTAACATTATAAATGTCTTTACTGTCACTTTCGATCAAATTAATTATTCCTTGATAAATAAAAGTATTGATTTCTTTCCTCCAAAAAATAAAAATAAAATTCTCACTGACCCCAAACTTTTGAACGGTAGTGTATATCCTAAAGAGAAACGGCATCTCGAACTAGGAAAAAAAATGTAGGGCGGGACTTAATTTTGTCCACGGGGAATCGATTGGGTCATTGGATGGTTGTGGTTTGCTATTGGTCGATCTCATGTGAGTGACAGGTTGCCCCGCCCTCACGCCAGTAAACACATCATCAGAAAAGAGAAGAGATGAGCTGCAAGAAGGAGTATTTTGATTAAAATGTATGAGGACACATGAATAAAAAAATTAAAAAAGTTATGACGTGCACGTATAAATCATTTATAATAAATACTGCAATATTTATAAAAAAAACACAAAGAACTGTCCATTTTGATTTCATGGTGACTTTAAAGGCCACACAGCCAATCAAACTCTTTTGTGCAAATTCATCTGTCACTTTTTAATACTAATACAAGTACTAATCAAATAATACTAATATAAGTATTATTGTTCTTCTCCTGTTATTTATAAAAAATAACTCTTAACTGTAATTTATAAGGACTCATTTATTAAACAGAGATCATGTCATTCTAACAATTATGCGGATTGTTGGGCCTGTGCAGTTCTTGGTCATTTTGAAAAATAGAAATGCATTCATTTTATATGATAAACAATTTTGGCACTACGTTGAGTCATAACTCAATGTTCAATGTCAAATCTGGGCAAAAACAGCTGGTCTGAAACAGTGGCATGAATGGAAAAAATTACATAAACCCTATATTAAGTATCTTGCAGGCAATGGCCATATCAACGTTATATAACCAAATTCTTTATCTGCACCTACCCAGCTGTATTCAACATGCTGTATTTTAAAAGTGTCTTATTTGAAGGATCTGTTATATCGCTCCAGAGTTTCAATTGAATTTCAATGACTCTGACTTGGATAGATCTTTCTCTATTGTTGTTCGCTTCTGTGTTTTGGGTCAGTGTTGTGTTGCATGAACCATCCTCTTTCAAGTTTAACATAACTGACAGATGCGCTGATGTTCTGCTGTAGAATTTCTTGGTACAACTTGGAGTTCATTAGTCTTTCTGATTGTAAACTGTCCAAGCCCAGAGGCATCAAAACAGCCCCCACAACATTATAGTCCCACTATTATTTGTCACAACTGGGATGAAGTTCTGATGTTGGCATGCTCAAACTTATGGCAATTGTTAAATCTGTACTGTTCGTGAACCAGTGTTCCAGTAGTGCTGTGGAATAATCTTGAACAGTTGTGAGACAGGCAACATTAGTGGTTTCCCCCTCGTCTTTAGCATTTCGCTGATGGTAAATTCACACACATTATCAAGTGCACTAGTAGTCTGCTGAAGCACCACTCATAGGAGTAACAATCATACTGAATTTCTTCCATTTGTAAACCATCATCTGATTATGGATGGATGGAGGGCCAAGTCTGGAAATGATTATGTAACCCTTCCAGTCTTATGAACTTCAACAGGTCTCTTTCTGAGCTCTACTGAAATCTCTTTTGATTGAGTTATATTACACATAAACAGAATCCTCTCGTATAGAGCAGGGTTTTTTGAATATGCAGAGCAGGTCGGTCTAAATTCATTGAAATACCTCCCTCTATAACTCTTCAGGGTCACATACGTTTTTCATTGACGATCTGACTAAACAGCACTATAATTAATATATAGTCCAAGATATTTTGCAATTGCATTTTTTAAAGTTTACTTTTTACCAAAGAAAAAAAAATCCATTACTATGCACATTGTATTTACAGACTAACTAGATGCAATTCATTTCTGCAACTGAAGCATGGGTTGCGTGAATGATGCATATAATACCTTGCTGCTTTCTATTTACTGCCCGCAACCTTATTTCTGCTGTTGACACACTATTTTGACTGTAAATTTTAGGGATGCACGATATATCGGCCACCATATCGGTATCGGCCGATATATTTTCAGTTTTAATGTTATCGGTTTTGGCCGATATATTAAAGCTGATAAATAATGGATTATTTCCTTCAGCTGAGACACTTCACTGTTCGCCGTGATGGTTTTAAATTGCTTGAAATATGATTGGAATCACTTCAAAAAGGAAAATACGGTTAAGTTCAACATGAGCAGTGCAAGTCTGTCATATAGGCTACATAAAATTATAATGAGAACATCATTATAATTTTGTGCTTGGGACATGGCTTTTAATGGTGAGCTTTTTGTTTTTGTAATCAGGCTCTCAAAAATGATATCAAAATTTGGATTTATATTTACCGGCCAACATATCGGTTATCGGCAAATATAAAGAGTTATCGGTATCGGCCAATATTTTCATATCGGTGGATCCCTAGTAAAATCGGAAGGATAGAAATATTCCATTGTAAAAGCAGGAGTAAATTATTTAATTGTATGCATTGGTATGTGAATATTACTAATATTATATACATAAGAAAACTGCAAACAAACAACAAATGCAAATGTTTAACGGTGGCCCGACTCTGAAGAGTAAATTAATCACAGCTGTGTATTGCATCATTTTTTAACTATTTATTGAAACATTACACATGACAATGCAAGCAAGATAAACCAAAAGGTGTTCCTGATTAAACAATTACGCTTTTTTTTTTTTTTCAGGTCTCAAACTGGTTCGCGAATGCGAGGCGTAGGCTCAAGAACACAGTTCGACAGCCTGACTTGAGCTGGGCTTTACGTATAAAACTGTACAACAAATATGTACAAGGCAACGCTGAGAGACTCAGCATTAGCAGTGATGACGCAACATCAGACGGTACGGGCGGATGTGTGAGATTTACCCATTCTACAGACATATTTTGATGCATTCTGACAAAATGCGGTAACTGTGATAACTAAAACTGTAAACACGATTTCTATATCCATTTAAGCGTAGTCGAACTGTGTAGTTACTGCATTTTGTCTTCACCCCAGCAATATAGTAATTGAACCTTATTGTTATGCCAAGTTTTAGTTTGATGTGTTATTGTTCCACAGATGGGGAGAATCCTTTACAGATGCAGGCTAGCGAATCCGACTATAACAGACCCACGCACAAGAGCGTTATTCAGGACAGCAGAGGCAAAGTGGTGGGGCGAAGTACAGACCCCTCGGTTTGTGATGATTACGTCTCTCCGCCAAAATACAAGAACAGCTTGCTAAACCGCTATCTAAATGATTCCCTTCGGCACGTAATGGCCTCCGAAAAAGTTATGGACTCTCGGAAGAGGAACCATTCTGGATCGTTTAGCTCCAACGAGTATGAGGACGATTTGCTCTCGCCCTCATCAGAAGCTGAGGCAAACTTCACCTACCGTACAGGTAAGAGCTGTCGCAGACTTTCAAGCTTCGAAAATTGTACGAATGGAAAGAGGATATAGGTTGTCATACATTTTGTATTTGTATACGGTTAAAGGGATAGTTCTCTCAAAAAATGTAACTATCAATTTCATGTCTTTGCAAACCTGTATGACTTTCAAAAGATGTTAGGCATCATATTCACACTGCTCTTTTCCATATTTAAAGGGATACTCCATTTTTTTTGGAAATAGGCTCATTTTACAACTCCCCCAGAGTTAAACTGTTGAGTTTTACCGTTTTTGAATCCATTCAGCCGATCTCCGGTTCTGGCGGTACCACTTTTAGCATAGCTTAGCATACATCATTGAAGTGGACAAGACCATTAGCATTTCTAAAAAAAAAATGACCAAAGAGTTTCGATATTTTTCCTATTTAAAACTTGACTCTTCTGTAGTTACATCGTGCACTAAGACCGACGGAAAATGTAAAGTTGCGATTTTCTAGGCTGATATGGCTAGGAACTATACTCTCATTCCTGCGTAATAATCAAGAAACTTTACTGCCGTACCATGAGAGCAGAAGGCGTAATGATATGATGCAGCGCCTAAAAATAGGCCACCTTCCGTCAACACAACGGAACTATTTTCAGGCGCTGCGTCATATCATTACGCCTGCTGCTCTCATGGTACGGCAGTAAAGTTTTGTTGTGTTGACAGAAGGTAGCCTATTTTCAGGCGCTGCGTCATATCATTTTATTTTATTTTATTATTTTTTATTTTACCTTTATTTAACCAGGTTAATCGGTTGAGAACAGGTTATCATTTGCAACCGCGACCTGGCCAAGATAATTACGCCTGCTGCACTCATGGTACGGCAGTAAAGTTTCTTGATTATTACGCAGGAGAATAGGAAAAAGAGGAAAAATATCGAAACTCTTTGGTCATTTTTTTTTTTAGAAATGCTAATGGTCTTGTCCACTTCAATGATGTATGCTAAGCTATGCTAAAAGTGGTACCGCCAGAACCGGAGATCGGCTGAATGGATTCAAAAACAGTAAAACTCAACAGTTTAACTCTGGGGGAGTTGTAAAATGAGCCTATTTCCAAAAAAAGTGGAGTATCCCTTTAAAGCAAAGAGCACCATAAAATTAGTCGACACAACTCATGATCTATTTATTTAAATAATGACAACTCTGCTGAATAGTTTTAGCATGTTATTGAAGGGGGAGGGACATACAAAATATGCAGTGATGGGGGGTTCCCAGTATGTAAGATCTGCTGCTGCTGCATGAATAGACATACATAAATCCCGTAGCAGATCTAGGCAGGTGGAGCTGGGGAGGTGGAGGGTTTCAGAGGAACTGTGAGAGCTGCTGCACGTCCATCTAACAGCGAGCACTGAACCAGACTATTTAAATGTTGAGCGAGCAATCTCATTGGCTGCAGGATCAGCAGAAGCCAATCAGCTTGTGTCATGCTGATAATGACGTGTTTGCTTGCAGATCGCATGTAAAGGACCCATCAGCCTGTGCCCTCTGTTTTATGACTGAACTAGAAATGTTTAGGGCTGTTTCATTGACAAAACTATGTTAGGACTTCAGGGGATAAACTATAGTCATATAGACAACTTTTACAGTACTTATATATAGTTTGTTTTTTTGGATGTTGACAAGCCCTGGTCACCATTCAATTCCATTGTATGGAAAATTGCAGCATCAACACTATGCTAAACTTCTTCTTTTGTGTTCCATGAAAACGAGAAATTTACAAAGGTTTTGAATAACATAGTTTGCTCTAACTTGCTGAAATATCAAGTTACTGTACTTGGTGTGTTAACTTAAAGGGATAGTTTACTTTGGAATTAATTTTTGGTACGTTTTAGCTTACCTCAAGGGCATCCAAGATGTAGGTGTCTTTGTTTCCGCAGTAGTTTCAATTTTGATATTTTTAGGTCAAACCGTTCTTGTCTGTCAGTCATATAATGCAGGTCTATGGTCACCACCTCAAAGAGCATGCACAGAGAAGTCCAAATTAAACATGATTTAATGACTCGTAAATGTAAGTACACAATGATGGCACGAAACGAGTGGTTTGTGTGAGAAAACGAACAGTATTTATATCGTTTTTACCTCTTGTAAACACAGCCACGTCCAAGTGATCTGATGGCGCCCTTTGGTCTTTTCCGGCAAGCGCCGGAAAGCGCCGGAAGTGATCTCTCGCGCGCGTCTACGTCACTCATACAATTGTTTTATTTTATTTATTTTTTAACGACGGTTTAAACATCCCAGATAAGCGCAAATTAGTACCATTTTAATTAGCCGTCTTACCTACAATCTCTGTTCTGTGTAAACAATGAGTGACGTACACGCGCGAGAGATCACTTGGACGTGGCTGTGTTTACAAGAGGTAAAACCGATATAAATACTGTTCATTTTCTCACACAAACTGCTCTTGAGGTAAGCTAAAACATACCAAAAATTAATTTCAAAGTGAACTATCCCTAACTTAAGATGGACAAAATTTGAGTACATTTAAAAACTGGTTAACACTTTATTTCGATAGTCCACTTTAGTCATTCTAACTATAAGTAACTTTGTAACTACATGTCAACTAACTCACATTAGAGTATTAGACTGTCTGCTTAATATCTGCTAACTCTTTATTTTGATGCTCCCCCAAAATACTATAAGTAAACTACAAGTCAACTTATTCTTCTAACCCGAACCTTAACACCTAACCATAACCTAACAGTCTACTGGCAGTCTACTAATACTCTAATGAGAGTAAGTTGACAAGTTACTTATAGTTAGTAGAATGTCTAAAGTGGACTATCGAAATAAAGAGGAACCAAAAAATGAAATGGAGACAAATGCATTGAAAGATTTTGTGAATCCCATTAGAAATAATAATAAACTTGAATGTAAAGCTACGGTTTCGTATGGTTTGATTGGTGAGTGGAAGGTTCCTGGACTCTGTTCTGTCGGAGCTTATAGGAACACCTGCTGATGCCTCATGAAAGCAAATGCTTTAGTGTTGCCAAAGGAGTTGAGTCAAATTCATCATTAACATAATTCCACCGCAACATTTCAAAATGTTCTACCGCTCTGTTTATTTTGCCTCTGTGCCCTTTCGGAATGGTCCCGTTTTGGGAAAACTCTGCTTTTTTTTCCGTTTATGATGTAGTATTGCATGAGTACATAAAAACATGCAGGTGTTTGTTATGAACATTAGCGTTCTAACAATGCACTGCATAACAACATAAGTTTATTTATAACATTATGGACTACAGAGCATGCTTTATGACGATTAGGCTAATAGAGGGAATGCATTAACGTCACTTCCCCGCCGGAAAACGCCGCCCTCAGCGGGACTGAGTGGCAGAAGAGCTGCTGCGTGACTGGAGTTAATAGGGGAAACTGCGTTAACGTTAGTAAAACAAACTATTATCAGTTTAAACTAAAAGTTGGACTCGATATAGTGTTCCTTACAACTTATCAAAGATCTAGTGATCCATGGATATTGACATGCAGCCAGGAATCGCGTTTCCTGACATTTATATGTGCCTGATTTCGACGCCGGGGAAATAAATGAAGACAATTTGCCTGTAAACGTTTTATATAAATACAATATAGATAGGTCTAAATCCGAGTGATCACTTACATTAATGTTATACTCTATATCATCATATCGTCCAGCCCTAAAACTTGTATAGTTTTTTGTCAGTTTATTTAAAAACATCCAATTATGCAGAATATAGTCTGTTCTGTAGCTTTTTGCAGTCTGTAAAAATATACAGTACCTCAGATTTCTGGTCAAATCTAGTTGTACAGTCAATCGCAAAGCTCTTTCCCGTTTTAGATGTGTTTTGTGTGATTTTCACGGCATTCACGCTGAAAACAAATGCTGCCGCTCAGTCTTTTTGCCACTTGTGGGCGTGACCGCATTTACTCCGGCTGACGGTGACGTCATGCGCATACCCTCTATATGTTTTTGATATGGATATTAAGTTTTTAAATTCTTCTTTTAGATCAAATAGGCGTGTGTTTAGGAAATAAGTTTTCTTTTGATCACACTGTGTCCTGTTCAGAACAAAAACAGAAAAGCTTTTCTGTAATGCCTCTTTGTCCTGACTTTTGCCAAACATGATAAGGACATTAAAATTGACAGTGAAATACAGTACAAAGAGCAACATCTCGTTTAAAGACCGGCATTGCAAATTTGCTTAATGAATAAACCACAAAATCCCATGTTAAAGAAGTAGTTAATTCCAAAATGAATATTCAATAACCGGTATGTTTTCAATATTCGATTTTTTCTTCCAAGGAACATAAAAAACAGATATTCTGGAGAATGTTCAAGCTGCGCTTATACAATGAAATGAATGGTAAATAGAAAATAAGAATCATCATAGTATCCATACGACCTGTCTCCTTTCATGATAGCTTTGTGTGTGGAACGTCATCACCAATACTCATGCCAATCAGTACTGATTCTCGTGTGTCTCATAACCAATCATAACCTAATTTGAATTTGCTCGTAATGCACTAATGAGGTTTGAGAACTACATTGCATCCGTATGGACTATTGCTCTGATTCTTCTTACAGCCCCTGGTCACCAACTTTAATTTCTGTATATTATTTCACATCCAGTCTGACAATCCTGCCTGACATTTCCTTATATGTCCTAAATGGACAAAAAAGTCCATTTTAGTTTTCAAAAATTACAGTTCAGTCATTTCTTTGGCAGTTATTTTGGTATTTCATCTTGCTCCTAACCTGCCATATTAAATGTATAAAGTAACAACAAAACTGCTCCCTCAAAGCCACTGTAAAACCAGAGGCTGTCGGGAATGTTTCCTTCATTCCAAGAAAGCAACAGTTCAGTTTCTGTCATTTGTTGTTTTGTACCATTGTGATGCCATCATTGACATTAAAACTTGTAATTATTTTAATTACTTCATTGATTTTTCACGTTATGAAGTGTCAATTTCACGCAGTCAGTGCTGAAATGTCATTGTATCA